CACAACCTAACAATAATTCTACAATCTGTAATTTTACGTTTGTCGATGAATCCCCCGTGAAGCCTGGCTGCAGTATACTTGCATCACACATATCTCCTGTTGTCAGTGGTCTTCCGCATTCGTAACAATGGTGATGATGTCTACCGTGAACATGTAATACGAACACGAACACTAAATCCTCACATTTACAAACCTCCTCCCCTACACCGTCTTCTTCGTAGCAACTGCTACACAACACCAACGTTGTATTTTCATGTAAGTTTAACAACACCTTCCCTTCGGTACACGTGTATTCGTTAATGTTGTCACACACACTACGTCTCAGAATATGTTCCAATGAACAATTATTTTCCATCGTATATTTATGCTGCACATAACCCTTCTTTATACGTCTTTCGCTATTATCGCATCTGTCACCGCTGACTGGCAAAAACTGTCGGTAATTATTCTCAATATTTAAACCAGATCGCCATGACTGTATCCACTCCTCCTCACATACGTCCGCTCCGAAGTCTGTGCGATACAATATTGGTAGTACACTGACTTCTATACTATTAAATAATCTTAATGAACGGTTCTCGAACCACGATGTTCTACAAACGAATCCCATGCTGCCCACACCGTTACTGTTTACACAATACATTTTTCCTTCCATATTAAGAACTCTGCAGATCCTCGCTTCCCCACATTCTTCTTCTACCTCCTCCAATTCATCTCACCCTACTCATACCGCACTCCTCGAAATCATATAAATTCCCACATCTTCTATTCCTTCAGCAGAAGACTTCTGCTCTTCCATATATCAACATGTACTACCAGATAATTTTCAAAGGTACACAACTGCAAACTACAACGGCACCCTTCACCATCGTCCGCAGTGATGCTTGGACCGATTCCGATGAAGCTGTAACAACATGGACCGTTTCCACTACGAAAAGACCCGTTATGTTCTGTCAGGAGATAGAACAATACCTCCATGACGTCCAAGCAGCTGGGAGCGGGACAATACACTATGTCTTGTACGGCATTTTACTAATTAAACATGTACACATTATTTAATAACATAAGTTAGTTTAATTAATGTAGTATTTAATAATATAAGTTAGTTTAATTAATGTAGTATTTATAATTCAAAGTTTACTTTTTTTATAATATATGTGTAACTTATATATAATAAACTTTATAACAACTACATCTTCTTTTTACTTTTCCATACATCTACAATACAGTCATCTTGAAAGTATTGAACAATAATATTTCTTCAATCACAGATATATATAAATGAATTACACATCATCATTCCTCCAAGAGAAAATTATTAAATAAAATCATCTTACAATACAATCATTTATTTTATATTACTATATTTACAATATTAATTAAATATGTTCAACAATTGTGTCTGCAATTCATTTAACTTCTGCTCCACCTCTTCCACTCTCTTCCTACCTTCCACCACCATTCTACAGCTGCTTTCACGACTTTTCTTCAGATCCTCCAACTCTTTCTCTTTCCGCTTTATTTGTTCCAAAACTGAAGCGTCTTTCATGTCATGGTCCTTTATTTCACCTTCCCGTTTTCGCTTCTCCCGTTGAAGTGTCTTCACTGCTTCTCGCACCTGCTCCACCAGCTTTGAATAATCCAGCGGACCGCTCGATACTCTTCTATTGTATGTCCGCTTCTTAGGCTTCATACTTACGGATTTACCGCCCCCTACCGGCGTACGCGATGTACTAGCCACAGGTACTGCTATCCTTTCCGTTGCTACATCTGCTACACATGATTTTTCTCCACCGACTGTCTTCGTCACCAACTCATCGTTGTGGAAGAACTCTTCCAGCATCGCTGACAGCTCCGATTCGTCCAAGCTAATCACTGACGCATCTGCCGCATCACACTGTCCTAATTCAGCCATTTCACTTATTCTTTTCCTCTATACATGCCTCTTAAATATCTTCAAACCACCCCACCACCCTCACCTACTTTATTTTCTCCCACTCCTTCATATTTTTTACATTGTTAAATCTACTTCGCACACGGTCTTCCTCAGTCTTTCTCGAGACACCTCTGTTACATCTAACAGATATGATTCGTTGTCCCGACTGCGATACGTCCTTTACGCGATCTGATAATTTAAAACGACATCAGAAAGCTTCGTGTCGTAAACGAGTACAGTACCATCCTAATTCCTCGCTACCGAATAAAAAACCGAAATGTGCTACATCTGCCACCTCTTCCGACCGCTGGTGTGAAACGTGTAAAATATATGTTCCTCAATCTTCGTACAACGGTCACCTGCGCACCCTACAGCATAAACAAAATTGTTGTTCACCTCTTGAGGAGGGAATCGGTTTCCTTTCCTCTGCTTTCGCTAGCAGGATTGCTTCGTTTCGTATTACGTCTGCGAAATACCTTCTATCGTATAACGACTTCTTCACCGATGTTCTCGACAAATGCGTGCGTGTTATACGTAATCAGATCCACCTCCACGACACGCTTAAAATAAATCTCGAAGTTTTTGGACGTTACGTGCACGAAACCAAACAGTTGGTTGAAATTAAGTCCTTCAATACCAACAACAAAGTTGTGACTCGATCCATCGATCTTCCCAATCTTCTACAAAACTTCTTTGAGATACTTGAGGCTAAAGCGTCAGAGTTTCAAGAACGAGAGTCAGGTAACTCATCCTTTTTTAGTATACGTTTCATTTCATTTAACATTTCCCCATTTCTACAGGATGGATTTTAGAAAGGGTTCTTTTCCTTGAAATCAACTTTAACAAGTACAATCCGCTGAGAGCGTCTTCCTACATTCCGTTACCGAAACAAATTTTATTCAAGAAAGCGGTTGTGAATGTGCGAAACGACGATCACGCCTGCTTCGCATGGGCAATTACGTCAGCTCTGTATCCCGCACAAGCGAACCCGCAAAGAACTACTTCCTATCCACATTACTCCCGCACTTTGGACTACGACGGTATCCAATTTCCTATGAAATTAACTGACATACCGAAATTTGAATCGAAGAACCACTGCTCTGTGAATGTCTACGGGACTGAATCCGTTTTGAAAGATGGAAAGTGGACATGGGAAATCGTTGGCCCCCTTTACTACTCACCCATCAAGCGACGGCTACACTTCAATCTGCTCTTGCTCGATGATGATCTAGGAAATAATCATTACTGTTGGATAAAGGACATGTCCCGTTTACTTTCTCAACAACTTTCTAAAACTGGACATCGCAAATTCTTATGTGACGGTTGCCTACAATACTTCTCCACTTTACCTCACCTACATCGTCATCAGCAGCATGACTGTAATCATGTCTACACCAGCCTTCCCAACGGTGATTTCAAGATGGATAAGATGGGTAGGTTTGTCCCCAATCACATTTTAAAATTTGAAAATTATCAGAAACGTATCAAAGTACCATTTGTTGTATACGCAGACTTTGAAACCGTACTGCGACCAATTCACACATGTTTTCATGACCCTAATAAGACTGCCACCACATCCACCCACAAACATCAACCTCATTCCTTTGCTTATTTGATGAAGTGCTCCTTCGATGATTCCCTCTCGAAATTCAGATCGTATCGAGGTCCCGATTGTGCCAATCAATTCGTTACAACTCTCGATCGAGATGTTTATGATATTTATCATCGATATTTGAAGATCGTTTCTCCCATGATACCCCTGACAGATGAAGAAATACGTCTCTTCTCTGACGCTACCTCTTGCAATATTTGTGAAGAACCCTTTCTGGACGATGACGTCAAGGTGCATGATCATTGTCATTTGACCGGTAAAGTTCGATTAGGAGCTGCTCACTCCAGATGTAATTTAAATTACAAACTACCCAACTTTGTACCTGTTTTTTTCCACAACCTCTCCGGATATGATTGCCACTTGTTTCTAAAGGAAATGGCTGTGAACGATGTTAAATTTACCGTAATAGCTCAAAATAAAGAAAAATACATATCCTTTTCCAAATTATTACGAGTTGATACGGTTCAAACTGAAACAGACGACTCAACACAAAATGTGTTCGTGAAGATTAGATTTCTCGATTCCTATCGTTTCATGGCTTCCTCCCTCGACAAGCTGTCGGATGAACTTGATGCTCATCAATGTTTGCAAGTGAAAAAATACTTTCCCGATCCTAATCACTTTCAACTTATGCGACGAAAAGGTGTTTTCCCTTATTCCTACGTTGATGATGTTGCTAAGCTTGATGAAACAACATTTCCACAGAAAGACGATTTCTTCGATAAATTGACTTCCCTCCCCGTTTCCGATGACGATTACAAAAGAGCTAAAACTGTTTGGAATACTTTTTCATGTTCAACTCTAGGAGAATACTCCGATATCTACTTGAAAACAGATGTTCTTTTGCTAGCTGATGTTTTCGAGAATTTCCGACAAATATGTCTCACCACTTACGACTTAGATCCTGCTCAGTATTACACAGCGCCAGGGCTTGCGTGGGATAGTATGTTAAAATTCACTCGCGTTAGTTTACAACTTCTGACTGATATCGATATGTTAAAATTTTTTCAAAAAGGGGTACGTGGAGGAATAAGTCAATGCGTTCAAAGAATGCACTTCGCTAACAACCCTCACATCCCCGATTACAACGCGTCCGCGCCTACCTCCTACATTATGTATTTGGATGCTACTAATTTGTATGGACATAGTATGAGTCAAGCACTTCCTATTTCCCACTTCCGTTGGCTAACCCAAGCCGAAATTGATGAATTGAATGTTCTCTCTTTACATGCTTCTTCTGAATACGGTTACGTACTTGAAGTAGATGTTGAATATCCCCAACACCTCCATGATTTACATGCTGATCTCCCCTTTTTAGTTGAAAACATTATCTCTCCTGCTAATGTGAATGGTAAAGTCAAAAAACTGATACCGAACCTTATGAATAAGACAAAATATGTTCTTCATTATCTTACGCTTCAACAAGCCCTTCATAATGGACTACGATTACTTAAAGTTCACAGAGTTATTCAGTTTAAACAGTCCCACTGGCTTAAACCTTTCATCGATTTAAATACCCGACAACGTAATTTGTCTGAAAATAAATTTGGGAAATCCTTCTTCAAATTAATGAACAATAGTGTTTTCGGAAAAACAATGGAGAACGTTGATAAACGAGTTGATGTAAAATTAGTCACTCATTGGCAAAATTCTGGACGCTTTCTTGGTGCGGAAAGTTTAATAGCTAAACCTAATTTCAAAAATTCTAAGATATTCACTCCCAATTTCGTAGCCATTCAGATGAATAAATTACGTATTATTTACGATAAACCTCTCTACGTTGGTTTTACTATCTTAGATTTATCAAAAGTTGTTATGTACGACTTCTACTACACCTTTCTTAAACGAAAATATCAACACAACATTTCCTTGATGTACATGGATACCGATTCCTTCATTTTGAAAGTGTTCACTGAAAACTTTTACCGAGACATTACTGAAAATATTAATCACTTCGATACTTCCAATTATCCGCGCGAGAATAGTTTCAATATCCCCATTACCTCATCTGTTATCGGTAAATTCAAAGATGAGTTCCCTAATAATCCTATTAAGGCATTTTATGGAACCGGAGCTAAAGCTTACTGTGTTGAAGCGATTGATCAAATTGTTAAAAAAGCTAAAGGTGTTAAGAAAAACGTTATTAAATTACATCTCGAAATTGACGATTACCTTCGTGTTATTAGGGACGATTCCACCATTATAAAATGTATGAATGTTTTTGTTTCTGACCTTCATACTATGTTCACTCAAATGAAAACTAAAGTAGCTCTTTGCCCTAAAGACGATAAACGTTTCTTGATTCCGAAAACAACTAATACGCTTCCGTGGGGACATTACAATATAAAAAACTCTGAACATTCTGTCTCAAAGTTGAACAGCAAAATTGATCAATTAATCCAAAATTTTAATCAACCGCACACAGACAATTTAACGGTTGGGGAATATTTTATTCAAAAACTTTTTGAAGCTTCTTCACTTCCAGAAGAATCTATTGATAATATTTACGAAAACCTTACATAACAATAAGTGTATAGGCTATATGTGTATATGTAAATAATGCTTCAATATTATATTTCAAACGTTTATCATTACTATTGTTTCTATACTCTCATGTGCTTAAATAAACGTTACAATACAGCTTTGTTTTTAACTAACTTTATAAATTGAATTATCTCTCTGAACGTTGAAACAAAACACGGAATGTTTCTGCTGTTACAATTTATTGAGTTATTAACATTAATAATGAGTATATTTTTTTATAATCTTCCATATTAGTTGATGGCCATTTGCCTGAGTCGGGACCGCTTTGCCAGCCTGGAGCCTTTTCCGTTCCTTCTCGTAAAATGTTTTCTTCTATCCAACTCACCACTGTCTGATGACGACCGTTAATGTTCGGACTTAAAGTATATGGAAGCCGGAACAAATTTATTAGCTTAATACACTTTTCCAAATATTTCGGTTGCGCGTAGTATGCTACATCCATTATTAAATCATCTACACACTTTAGTAGTGTTCTATACGTTTTCTTTACGTTAACGATGGAGAATCTTTTGTTCTTCACCAGAACCGATCCGTTTGTCAACATTTCCTTTAGAAAATATACATCGTTTCGCGTGTAATTACTATTTGTTTCATTTAAAATGTCTTGGACATCATCACCGGTTATCTCCACTTTTTCACCACATGCTTTTAAAAAATCACTTACGAATGTATCACACCGTCGTTTTATTTCGAATATGAAATACAAAATATCAAACGATACCTCTTGCGACATTGTTAACCACTTGAATACCTCCTTTGGTACTTCAACACCCAACTTTGAACACACAACTTTCACTCGATCTAAATCATCGGATAGTATTGCTCTTCGTAAATTGATAACGAGAGTTTGTCTTTCTGCTTGATACAACTCGTAGGATAAGGAATCCATTTTTTTATATAAATTCTATTTCTAAATCGTCAGGCTCGCTCTCTTCGTTTACTAAATAACCTGTTATTACAAGTTTATCGTATCCACCTTTTAACTCAAATTCTTGTACCACGTTCTCCAACTCTGACGCTACCAAATGTTTTCTCTCAAACAATAAACCGTCTTTGAAAAATTGAACTTCAATTACATAACTCTCTACCATTACTACGTCTTTAACTTTCAGTGCGGTAACTAACGATCTCAACTGGCTACATTCACCACGTTTAATGTTATTTATAATCACACTTTGGGGAGGGGGTATAAAAATTCGTAAACGTTTTACCATTTATTAATACAAAAATCTATGACTACATCACAAAGCGTTTTTTTTATGGATCCAGCTATTGTGAGATTGGTCGAGTCCTAACCATTTCACGTAAACCATATCACCTTTACGTCTTAATACTCGCTCCACCAAAAAAACGTCTGGATATGCAGCTTTCTGTAATTCCATACCATAAAATCCTCCTTTTATGTCTTCCCCTTTATCGTCCTTTAAGTAGTACATGATCGGATCAGACAATTTTATACGGCTTATTGTAAATAGTTCGTTGGACCAATTCGGTGTATAACCTTTGCTAAACGATTCACGATATTTACTTATTCGTACCCGGTCCCCCACTTTAAACTGAATTCTTCGTAAATCCACCTTTTTCGGATTGTTGTAAATACTTTTCAAAAGTGTTTCTTCATTTCGTCTATTGACTTTGCTTGGTTTCATTCCGATGGTTCTGTGAATCTTATTGTTGTATTCACTTACTATATCTTGTAATATATTCAACCATTTGTAGGATCCTTGTAAACTGAAGCGCTGCCACATTTTTGATTTTAGCGTTCTATTTACCCGTTCCACAACTGATGCTTTCTTTGTGCTATACGTTGAATAATGGTTAATTTTATGTTTCTGCATTACTTTCTTCACTTGTTCGTTATAAAATTCTTTTCCTAGGTCAGTTTGCATATTCTTAGGAATACGTTTATTTCTTTTGAAAATTAATTGTAAAGCTCTTCCGACATATTCACCTGTTTTCCGTTTTACTGCTTGAGCCCATACAAATTTTGAGAAAACGTCTATTATAACTAAAATATATCGAAAACCTTTATTTTCTCTCGCATACGGAATCATTTCAACTAAATCGGCTTGATGTAGATCATCCAATCCTTTAACAACTACCTTACGGCGTGAGAAATTAATTCTTGCAGGTTTATGCAATTCTTTTACAACTTCCTCTTTCATGTCAGACATTCCTTTCTGTTGACGACAACTACACAGACGATGCCTCTGTTGGTTTAGAACTGCTCGATTTTGTATTTCCAGCTGCTGTTTCTTCTAAAGTATCCAATCTTACCTTAAGATCGTTTGCTTCTTTTTTTAATGACTCCACCATTTTCACTAACTCCTTTTCCTTGCCTTCTTTCTTTTTATTGCTTACTTTAATTTCTTTCTCTGCAAATTCCATAACTTTCTTGCACTCATCTTTAATCAATGTCTTTATTAATTCGATGCTCACATCTATATCTCTTTTCATGTTTGTCACAATGTCGCTCTTTGGTTTCTTCGACAATTCTTCGTCACCTTTTCTAGCAAATGTTTCTACATTTTTACACTCCAATGTAATTTTTTCTGAAAGGGTATCCATGATTATGACGCCATTCTTTTCTATCACATCATTAACCATTTTTGTTATTTTCTTATCCCTATCATTATTATAATTTTCAATTTCTCTTCCCATATTTTTAATTAATATATCCATTTTATCATTAAATGTTTTCATCATCTTTTGATTACTTTTGGAGACAAGTGTTTTTAATTCTTCTCGTAAATCCTTCATCTTTCTATCTCCTTCACTGACAGCGCTATCCTTTACTCTTTCACATTCTATTCTGATATGTTCTTTTGTTAACCTATCCTTTTCGNCCAATTCAGCCATTTCACTTAATCTTTTCCTCTATACATGTCTCTTAAATATCTTCAAACCATCCCCACCACCCCCTACAGGCCTCACCTTCTTCATTTTCTTCCACTCATCTTTTTCTTACGTTGTTATAATCTACTTCGCACACGGTCTTCCTCAGTCTTTCTCCAGACACCTCTGTTATATCTAACCGATATGATTCGCTGTCCGGACTGCGATACGTCCTTTACGCGATCTGATAATTTAAAACGACATCAAAAAGCTTCGTGTCGTAAACGATCACAGTAGCATCCTAATTCCTCGCTACCGAATAGAAAACCGAAATGTGCTGCATCTGCCACCTCCTCCGACCGCTGGTGTGAAACGTGTAAAATATATGTTCCTCAATCTTCGTACAACGGTCACCTGCGCACCCTCCAGCATAAACAAGATTGTTGTTCACCTCTTGAGGAGGGAATCGGTTTCCTTTCCTCCGCTTTCGCTAGCAGGATTGCTTCGTTTCGTATTACGTCTGCGAAATACCTTCTATCGTATAACGACTCCTTCACCGACGTTCTCGACAAATGCGTGCGTGTTATACGTAATCAGATCCACCTCCACGACACGCTTAAAATAAATCTCGAAGTTTTTGGACGTTACGTGCACGAAACCAAACAGTTGGTTGAAATTAA